CGGATTGATTGAAATCCATTGGCTGTCGACATGTTCTAACTCCACCTCGACATCCACAGTTAAATGGTGCAGCAGAAAACCTCGTCCGGACATTTGTGCACAAATGCATTGAGAAATGACTGTATAAGCACAGTTTCAATGTTCTGGCAAACCTTTGTATCATGTCCTCCAACCCCGTCCCACCTTACCCCCGTATCATACACCCTGATGCGCTCCAAGGCAGTGCATTGTACCACGAAGTGGTTTGGTACTAGAATATGAGCAACATACAGGTTGATAAGTTCCCGCTTGATAATCACCATCTGAAAGTATTGATCAATGCGAATGCTTAAATACACATCACTGCGACGATATATGTATGTATATATGTACCGGTCTCGAATGTGACATGAATTCGGCACACAAGAGTTGGAATCGCTAAAAAATTATTCCGCTCCAGTCTTGGTATCCACCGGTTTGTTTTTGGAAGCACTGTTTAAATGTGTCATTCTAATAGAATTTGTTACAGGGATAATAGAAATTTCATGAAGGGGAGAATTTGTTGTGCATGGAGCAAATGAAGTGTGACGTGAAAAGCTTGAAAGCCCCACTGTACAGTCGTTTCGACCTGGTTGGTGGGTTGATTGGGTTGGGTCTCATCAACAGTGCGAATGCATCCACCCAACTGGGGATCAAACCTGGGACATCTCCGGGAAAACCCAAGCACACCATCCACTCATCAGCGGGTAGATAATCAGACCGTTTTTCACTTTTCATTTACACAATATTGCAAAACCCATTTTTGTGAGCTATTTGCGGATATTGCGCCTCGCAATTTTCTCAAATTTTGACTGATAGTTTGGCCTAACCTGGGTACAGAACGTCTACGAACAACACTTCCAGCTCGGAGAACACACCAGGACCAATATTCCGTGATGAATTTGTGAATGCAAGTCAGAAGACAATAACTAATGAAGGGAACTCCTACAGTACAGCCTCATCACTGACATACATAATAGCTTCGAACAGAAATGATAGGTATGAAATGAATAAGCGAATCCGGGGTGGGATTCTGTGTGTGTGTGTGTGTGTGTAGTCATGTGGTCACGTAGATCGATTTCAGTCATCTCACACCACTTAGGCAGGCGTATTCTCTGTTCCGTTACGCTATCCTGACTAACGTTGACTATGGATCGCGCACGACGAATCCACCCGCTGTCTCCGGCAGTGTAAGTACCCTTGATTGTAATCGATAGTGTGAAACTATGGACACACACGTCGAAACACAGACACAAGTAAAGACCCGCAGCCTAGAAAAAAGTAGATCCTGATTTGAACTATCCATCCTGCAGACCTGATCTTCACGCACAATCCCCGATACATCCAGTCAAACACAAACGCAGAAAGAAACAGGCTGGAGTTTCCATTTTTTTTTAGAACTCATCAGTTGTGCACATTGAACAACTAATCGAGGTTTTGAACTACGGTCTNAGTGTGTGTGTGTGTGTGTGTGTGTGTGTGTGCGTGCCTGTGGATGGGTGGGTTTCAGTGCAAGTCGGTATCATGTGCCTCAAACCACCAGTCTTATATCTGATCCAAACCAAACCTCAACCACCGTATTTCTTTTCTGATTTGGCCACAATTCTTTCATGGAGTACACCGAAGTTGAAAATAGTACCTCCGTTGTGCTGATCTGTGTATACGTCTACAGTAAAAGGGTACCAGTGACCAACACGTTTCAGTCCATGTTGCAAACAGAAATGCACTTTAACCACAAAAATTTCTATGCATTTTAATCTATCGTGTTAAATAGTTCGTACTAGGAATATAGTTAACATGATTTATAATTGACCAAGAAAGGTAGTAATTCAATAATGCTACATTTGAGTCATTCTGTGCAGGATTTCTCCTTGGGTAGCCAATTGAGGCTCTAAGACCTGGATTTCCCCCAACCCCGTCCTCGAGCCCGTTCTCCTTGTTTTACGATTACCGGAGAGAAAGTTTTATTCATCATGGAACTTCTGGAATTGTTTACAACTCATAATCGGGCATCATTCACGCACGTCCACGATACTATTTTATCCGGCTAGATAGAGATCTATCCATTTTCTCACTTAGACTAAAGGTACATTCTGTATGACAGACGCCTGTCCTTAAGTGTTTTGAATGCTTGAATCATTTCCCATTGTGTTATAGCTTTGTTCACCTGTTGTGTTACATGGGTTCCTTGAGCACGACTTTATTCTTCT